CCTGGATATTTGGCGAATAACCAATATAAACTGTAAAGCGTAGTCTAGCTGGCGTGATTCCCTTAGTGAATATCTACCTGAACTTCAGTTCCGAAGACACCAGAGTAGTGTGTTTTCTTTGAAAATTACGAATTCCTGACCGTCCACTGGATGTCGAGCACAGCACATAAACAGAAGCTCTTTGTCGAATATTCTGTACTTTGTTTCTGCTGTTTGTAGCAGCCTTTCGAGAAAAGGTAGGTGGTTGCCGCTTTTCGTTGACCAGTTGTTGCAGAACCGAATTGACCGCAGTACCCTATGGATCAACTGAGTTAACCAAGAGTGCCGTCGGATCCTGATTTATTAGGACGGTGCCATTCACGAAGGCTTTTTCACCTGAACTAAAGCGTCCTTAGCGACGGTTCAAGATAGATACGCTTGTTATCCCCTCGTTGCGGGCATGTCAGCAGCTGAATCGCTGGAGCGCAGTTGAGACTGACCATTGGTAATAGCTTACCAAGCCGATTAAAGTGTGAAGAACTTTCGCACTCTATGGCCCTGAAAAGTTTAAAGTTGTCCCGACTTTACTGACTAGTGGGCAGACACCACAGCAGTCAGTGGTGTGGCTGAGAAATCCCCATTTAACATTCCGAGAAATGACTGGTAATTTACCAAAAACCAAGTCAAATTGTCGGACACGAGTTTACCGATTCGGCCTCATAATGAAAAAGTCGGTTAAGTATGCGTCGACAAAGTCAAGACAGAGAGATACTTGAATTGCGTTACATTTGCTGCAATTTTATCAGGATTTGTTGCTTGCTAATCATATCTACGCTTTATGATGGATCGAATAAGGTTCAAATTTCATAAGCTAGACATACATTTTTGAATTGTTGATGAATTCGTGCTGGTATAATCCTACCGTTTAGTAAAACGCTAATGTCGTTATCTTTTAACAGATCCCAGCTAGCATTTCTTTCGGGTGCACTGCAGAAATGCCGGCGGAAAATCTTTAGCACGATGCAGAAAGTTGGACAGTTTTTTGCAGTCTGTCCCTAACTTTCTGCAATGCGCCCGATCGTTCGCCCCAAACTTACTGCACTGCGCCTGAAATCAGTTCTGGCTGGAATATGAATGTCAACAACCACCAAATTTAGGCATTAATTTCAGTTTTCATTTACTTACCACACGCTGCTTTTCATTTTAGTTCACAAAGCATTAGCATTATGGGCATTAGAATTAAGGATTTACCAGGGAACAGCCTCGTCAACGTAGAGTCTACTGATAATATTGTTCGCCCCGGTTGTGAGAAGTGACGACTGAAGCTAGGAAATATGAATATACTCCTGGTGTTTGGTCGTGTCTCTGTAGTAACCCCTTAGCTAAGTATTATGATGTGGTGAGTGTGTTAGGCAGAGATGTGAATACAAATCGTTGTCAGTGACACAGATTCACTCCCTCTGTGTAATCTCACGTATCTAGTGAACACTTATGTTTTATCCTTGTCACTATCCATTCTCCCTCACATTAATGTTCATTAGAGTTCCATTTAATTCTTTTTCTCTACCTTTGTGTGCTATATGGAATATAGTAACTTAAACATGTGAACTTGCGTACAAGCTTCTATGTAATTGACTGACTGGTTTCAACATAGACTTTTGCACTGATGTGCAGCAGTTTGAGTCGCCACTTTTCACCTAGCACACAAAGCAAGAGAAGAAAGTAAAAAGAAATGAAAAATAGAGACAGTAAACAGAGATATGAGGCAAAAAGAATAGTTTCAGGAGAGAACCATATAGTTTTATTGGACATTATAAGTCACAAGGAGTGGATGGATCTGCGATGTGATCGAGGACGACTTTGAGCCATATCACCAACTGTCCCCAGCCATTGGTTCTCACAATCCGGAGGACTCCAACCAGTCAGGAAGTCCACACATCTCTACATGGCTTTAACTAACTGTTGTGGATTTCGTTGACTGACGAAGCCATGCTATGGTTTGACCACCACTGGCTCTTTTCTAACCTGACCCTATGTCAGATGACTTTCCCCGTCGAGGAAGGCGATGGCCAGGCAGGCATTCGCAGATATAAGAATAAAACTTGGGCACTGTGGTAGAGTGTAATTCCATTATGGGTAAATTTTTATTTTGATAGAGTCTCACAGTGTTATACAGTAATATTTACTGATGACGTTTCGAGCACAAACTATTGCTCATAATCATATCAAGTTACTCACACAACTTTTTTCCTTCATTTATATACATGTGTGGAATCGACTAGATATTGGATTAAAATTCAATATGAGATAATGTACATTCAGAAATAATAGTACGAGTGTTATTAATCCATTGCAATGAGATGGGAAATACGACGAGTGTTTTTATAGTCATAATAAATTGATTGTTAGAATGTGTTTGAATGGAAATAGATTATTTATTATCCTCTTCTGATTTGACTGGTGGCAATAATACGAGTGTTATTAATCCATTGCAATTAGATGGGAAATACGACGAGTGTCTTTTACAGTCATAATAAGTTGATTGTTAGAATGTTATGATGTGCTTGAATGGAAATAGAATTTTAAGACTATTTATCATCTTCTTCTGATTTGACTGGCGGCAATAATATCTTCCATATTTCTGGTATTTGCATTGAGTCATTTCTGTTGCATGTGTTGGGTGTAGATTCGATGAACAAAGATTCAGTAATCAACCTCTCTCGCGCTCCATCTACCTAGATTACTTTTTAGAATTTTAACCCTCTCCCACCCTATTGTGTGGTTGTGTGTTAATGCATGCATTGCGATGGCCGAGCTTTTTTCTAAATTACTTATCTTCTCTGGGTCAACCATTCTTATCTTAGCTAAATTCTTATGTTCTGACAATCTGACTACCCCTGACCTACTAGTTTGACCTATGTAGTTGACCTCACAGTCATTGCAAGGTATTTTGTAAATTATATTATTTTGTCTAATTGGGTCCACTGGGTCCTTTAACCTACAGAGCTTGTCCCTGAGTGAGTTTGTAGGTTTAAATGCCACCCTAATTCCTGCTTTATTTAGAATCCTACGTAGGGTCTCAGATGTCCCTTCTTTATATGGTATAACTGTAGATGACTTATATTCTTTCTTATTTATTTTATTACTACTAGTTTCACAATTCTTTTTATTTTTCTTTTGGCATTCGCAGCACGTGTGCTAACCATCTCAGTCGGTGTAACTTCACAGTTTCTTCGATTGACTTCCCCTCCTTACCTAGCACTCGACCGAAGCCTAACTTCAATATTGTTCACCTTATCATAGCACTTAACATGGGAGATAGAACGCAGGCAACTATGTATGATCACAGACAGGTAGCTGACCTTTTCATGTCTTCCACTTTCAATGACAGCTAACCATAAAGGAGGACATTGTGAACTGCTGAGCAGTAGACACGCCTTCTGGTCGACAGCCAGCCGGATATCACTTCTACTAAGTCAGAGATGGCGTAAGTTGGCATATGCGAAACGAGCCTTCTGTATCCGTGCTGAGATTTCGTCGGCAATCAACCCACTAGCGTTGGCTGATGCAATTCTTGAAATAAGTGAAGTGGTCAACACGCCCCACCACTTCAATCCCCATCTTTAAGCCGGGAGTGGGTCAATGTAGTCGAGTCCAGCTCTGTAGCATAATCTTACATCTGATGGGAGCGAATCGCATGCCAAATATTCGCAGATTTCTGCTCAAGATGTTCAGCAGACTGCACTTTATCAGCATGCAGTAACTGTATATGCCTTTGGCATTGTAACATGAACATCACGAAGTCCATCTAGATAAGATGTTTAATATTAAATGGTCAAAACAATATGCGTTATAAGTTCAACTTTCATATTTTTCGCAGCCACAGATAACTCCTAAAATACTCGCCGAAGAGATTGGCTAGGGGTCGCGCTATGTCATGAATTGGCAGAAGTTAGAATTCATGGTCCACTGGATCGGGTCTCAGTGGCTAAATAGTATACGAGCTCGCCTTGTAACCAGAAGGGATCGAATCCTGGTGGGTGCGTACTGTAAAGAGTCCCAAACTAGGCTGGTGAAACAGCTGTCCAGTTCTCCCAGTTTTTCCAGTGTTTCTCTAACTAATGTTAGCTCATGATGAAATCCTGCGTACAATAAAATCCCTAAAACCAACACTTGAAGAGCTCACAATACCTTCGTGATGCGAAAATGAATGATTATAAGGATTAATATGGCTCACATAGCAAGTGTCCTGGTGGAAGGATGCAGCTGCAAGCTACTTTTCGACAGAAACCTAATACTAACTGTAAGCAGTCTTACATTTCAGAAGGAACGTCAGTGGCAGTGTTCTTGTCCGAATGCACACTGATATCGAGATAATCCAAGCAGTTATGGTCTTCCGAAATTCCATGCGACAATGTTAATTCCTCTAGTATCACATCACATCGAAATAGACATAATTACCTCAAAATTCAGCCACCTGTCTCATTCATCAAATAATTTTTCTTTGTGTGACTAATGAAATACGCCTGATTTTCACAAAACTCTTAGAACACCTTTATTGTCGCGAACACAATAACCCATACTATGCGCGAAAATACATTGCGATAACCTAAATACCCACTCGCACTCCGGAGTTGCTACTGTTTATGCTTGTCCAAAGGTGAGCTATGAATCCTGTTAGTGCTGGAAAGCAAGCAGTGTAACCAATTGAAACCTTGAACCATATTAACCCACGAATAACACTTTCAGCAGCATACAGGGATCTATCCAAAACAGGTGATTGAAAACATAACGTTATGTGGCCACAGTAATGGTCTCCCAAAGAACACAAAGGGTAATTCATCAAGCAGCTACTACGAGGCTAAGGCTATATTTCGCTCATGTGTCTAGTTCTACTCAGAACGCGCTTTTGGACAGCATGAGTACTGTTTTGCCAGCTGACAAGTTTGAATAACTCACGGTAACTTCATTAAGTTACATGAGCCCTCCTAGGCTGCAGAAGAGATGGACTAGTCTTGAGCACTTCATTAATGTTATAACTGAACCAGTGCCAGTCGTTACCATTACTGTATTTGTCTAACCCTGGGATTCAGTGTGTTATTTTTCATCCCTCCTATTTCACTTCTAATGCTCGATTCCGGATTTCCGATTCACTCGTTTCCTTCCTATCATTGCAAGTACACATGTTAGTCTGCATATTTTAAACAAATTCATTTAATCACCAGATTATTCCACACTTCCTAATAAAACAGCATTTGTTAACTTCGTTGTCACAGATTAATGGAAAATTCCTCCAGATACAGAAACGAAACATCTAGTGACGTTTGCAGACCCAGCGCAGGGCACCAAAGACTTTTAAACGTTACTCATAATATAGTAGATCAATGCGATGATAGTATATACATTGGATACTGGAAATGACCCCAGAAAAGCTTAAAAACTTTCATTTACTGCTGAATTACAGTCAAAGGCTTCGTATTTGGATATTTACTCAGGGAATCGTGAAAAAAAAGATTTCCAACTAGGCGCTGCTGACGTTGGATGTTGCGCATATCGATATATGGTGTTGGAGACCATTTAAATTCTTGGCGGGCTAATCCTTCTTCTTAAGGTCAAGTGGAAGCCTGTTGCTAAGACCTTGCTTCCTGTAGTGTTATTCTCCTTGATTTATTTTAACAGTGCCGTTATCTTTTGGGGGTCTAGAAGAAGCATATATCTGATAAATATCTTATAATTTGCTCAATGTTCTTACCGATCAGGCTAACTATGTCTGCAGCACTCACCAAGTCAAATCCTATGGTAGACTTAACTTTCTATTAGTTGATTTGCTAAAGAAATTTTTGTTCAGGTTTGGCAAGCATCATATGACTACATTCTGCCGACCAGAATGCTCTTCTTCTAAATTCCCCCTTTCTGAATACAAAGTTTTTAAATTGGATAGTACCCCACCACAGGAAACGGAGTGCACTCGTGATGATGCATTAAAATATCTTGACAGTCTTCATCGCATTCGCAGAATGGAGACGGCGCTAGGAAATTTGTACAAGGAGAAGCAGGTCCGTGGATTCTGTCACCTATATTCCGGCCAGGTTAGTGTACATAATGTCAATGATAGGTTTATGTTAAATTGACCTTGATTCGTTGCATTGCTCCTTACTTTTCAGTGTTAATGGTTGATATTATTTTCTCAGTGTCTAAGAAATTCCGTGTTTCTCCCCTTGTGTTCACGGGACGTCTTCATGGGCTCGCAGAATTACCATTAAGCAAAGTTGTCTCACATCCTAACACCTTGTCTCGGTCACATTAACGTGGTTGGTATCTGACTCTATGTGTAGAAGCCTCACGCGGATTGTGGCATCGTCCATCGGTCTTGAAGGAATTGCAAGTGTCTTGTGGAAACTTTGATTGGTGGCAAGAGAAACCAGTCAGGCAATAAATCTTGGTAAAAGTTTAGGGTAGTGCCGAGGAAGAATTGGCAGTCCTGTAAGCGCCTACGTTGTCAGTAACTGATCTGTTTGAATGTGTTTTAGAGGGAATAGATGAGCTTGGGATGTGACAGCCTTAATTGTTCCGTCCGAGATTAATGTTTTCTAGAAATGCATGATTCGAGCAGAGCTGCAAAAGATGGTCGCCATCATCCAACATGCTGCTGTCATAACCGGTGCGCTTGACCTAATCACTTAGGTCCCCAACTAGTACTACATTACCTCTTAGACGTGTTTGTCGTACATTTGGTGGTAAATCGGAACACAACGCTTCTTTAACTAGTTGGTAATCAGTCATGATGCAGCTTCCTAAGGTTGTAACTAAACTTGGCTGTTGTTTTACTTGAAGGATAATATAAATGTTGTAGGTAGTCTCTGAAAAAAGCTATTTAGCCCTTTAAACCTGCACAAATAAGCTAAGATTTCACCTAATCAATTGAGAGGAACGAAGATAATGACACCTTAGAATGATACAATAAGGCGTTTTCATGTATTTCCTGAGCTCATAATTCAGACAACATTTTTCTGGTATGTGTAAAGAAATTTCTCAATATTGAATCTTTCGGTAAATATTTTAATTGTTACGTTTCCTCGTGTCTCTGTAGGAAGCAGTTGCAGTTGGTATTGAGGCTGCCTTACAACCAGGAGATACTATCATTACTGCATACCGCTGTCATGGATTTACTATGACCCGAGGTGTTCCTGTTCATGGTATAATAGCCGAGCTAGCTGGAAAAAAGACTGGATGTACTAAAGGTGTTGGTGGTAGCATGCACCTTTATACTAAAGACTTCTATGGAGGTAATGGGATAGTTGGAGCACAGGTATATTTATTTTGAACTATTTTAAGAATTATCTACCTTTCATTTAAACCTTGTTATTGTATGTTACTTTTAGCATTTATCCGAACCTGATTCTAATTACTTTTTAGGAATTTTCCTCATATTTCGTCGTATTATCATCTTTTATTTACGATTTTTAAGACCTTTGGGTTACAGAGTTTGTACATACGATGTATTTAGGACTCTTCTGAATTATTGACATAGACTGGTGATCGCTAGCATGCCGAACTCGGAGGTAAAATAATTCGAAAACGCGTCAATTTTTTTCGATACTGAACTGTTGGTGAGTAATTTAGATAAAAAACAAGTGACATTAAAATCAAGAGTAAGAAGAGTATTTTACTGTGTACGGAATGTTGGAGCTTCCTGGGGAGTGTTAATAGTTTTCCAGAGAGAGTAATGTAGGCTGTAAAATACTTTGGAGAAATCGGATGCGTTAGCTTTACGTTTATTCAGTGTCTTAAGTGTATGAATAGAAAGAGATGATCCCTCATTTTCCGGTTCCCACCGTTGCAAAGCATGGTCCTTAAATATAGTTATAATTTTTTAGTATCCGGAAACAAATCAATAATTTTAAGATGTGGAATGCTAGGTTACGAAAGCCGGTCGATTGATGGGCCGGTGAATCTTCACTGACTAGAACTCAGACATATCTGCACCTACCTGTATACATTCCAAAAGAAGCAATATTACCTCAGATAGGATTAGAGCAATCTGTAAAATGTCCAGCAGTCGGCATGAACCACATCCTGGAGGTGATGATTTTCCCTTTGAAGTGTTTAGTTGCCAAGAATCATTACTACTTTCATTGTTGTTAATTAAGCGAATTACGTTTTGATAGTCACTGGTTTTATCTATATTTGAAGCTGTGTTTTTAATAAAGCTGGAGGAAAGTATAACTAAGAACAATATTGTTCGTCTGTCTTCTTTTAATTCTTACAGTGGGAACTTTCGGTGTTTTCAAGAACTATTTCTTGGAAGTTGAACAGTATGATTTACTGGTAGTTGCATTAGTAGAAATGTAGTCACTTTGTCATCGAGATTTCCAACATTTTCATTAAGTTCTGTCTGATCACTCTTTTCTTTCGTCTGACACGTTTGTTTTTTTAGTGTGTCCGTATTTCCGTTCACTTTATTGTGTACTGTTTTTCTCATGAGAATTAAGACCACATTGTGAATCTGATGGATCATTCACTGAATTGATTGCCATTTTGAAACCACAGCAAAGCCAAATACGTATCAATATCTGTTTCAGTAATTTAGCAATGCAATTGAAAAACATACGTAGTGAGACAATGTCTGTATGTCACTGATCTTAATATATGGTTCTTCCATTTGTATGTTTCTGTACTGTTAGGATTATAGTCTGTTTAGTACTACTAACCATATGTTTTTGAACTAAATTAATTTGTCTTGGCTAGTGTATTGGTCTTTGATTATTTATTTTATTTATTTATTTTGATTGAACTTAATGTACTGAACTTTGTCACTTACTTTAAACTTCTAAACCTGAAAAATTGTAATTAATCCTTCATTTCTAGGTCCCTTTGGGAGTTGGGATTGCGTTACGCATGAAGCACCGAGGAGAAAAGTCTGTATCTGTAACACTTTATGGAGATGGAGCAGCCAACCAGGGTCAGGTGTTTGAAGCCTACAACATAGCAAAGTTGTGGAATCTTCCTGTTATATTTATTTGTGAAAATAATAAATACGGAATGGGTACTGCAGTGCATCGTGCGTCAGCTAATACTAACTACTATACTCGTGGAGATTATATTCCCGGACTGTGGGTAAGATGTGATTACATAATTATTTTGTTGACGATAAAAATGTAATGTAGTTGCGTAGTATTTACATGATGATAACCACACTATGTCAGACTTTGATAGTGGTTGTAGAACTGCTCACTTGTCAGCCGAATAGTATGTGTTTAGTTTACAATCAATGTAATTTACCTTCTCTCTTTTTATGTGTCTAATGTCTTTCTTTCATTTAGTTTAAAGGTTTATAAAATATATTTACCAGTGATTTTTCCCTAACTTCTGATAGGTCGATGGCATGGACGTGTTAACAGTGAGAGAAGCTATTCGTTTTGCTGCTGATTGGTGTCGCTCAGATAAAGGACCAATATTATTAGAGACAGAGACCTATCGTTATCATGGTCACAGCATGAGTGACCCAGGAACTAGTTATCGTACGCGTGAAGAGGTTCAGTCGATGAGACGCGGTCGAGACCCCATTGCTTTGTTCCAGAAAATTGTTGTTGACAGTGGACTATGTACCCAAGATGAAATCAAGGTAACAATCTGTCTTCCCATAACGCACATATATTTTATATTTTGAACAGCAATAAAGTGCTAGGTAAGAAAAGTGCATTGTCCTTTAAGGTTGTGAATCTTTAATAATTAGTCTCATGTAGGGTTTACACGGCTCTTGCCGAACCACTGATTTCTATGATGTACGGTGCTAGCTGAAGTAGCATTTGGTTGAGACGTAGCGAGATAACAAACAGACGAGCTCCATTGAGTCACTGCACTTTTCTCTGGACCACATGAGGAGGTATAGATTACCCCATTAAAGTCCTCAGGATGTTAAGTGTCAGTGCTTGAAAATTTGGTGACAACGAAACGAATTCATTTACCTTTTATTGTTTTCTAGATTCTAAATACTTACATGTAATATTTCCCTCCTTTCTATCTGTGTGTGTCTATTGTACTATTATGGTATTTTTGTTCTCTTGTTTTTGTGTTGTTTTAGAGTGTAGTAGCATGAACTGATTCTCTTCTATCAAGACTATACCATGATCCATTAATCGGTCATATGATTTCAGCTTGTTGCAAAAGCATTGATTTTATTAGTCAGGTGTATTGTCTCAATCTAAGTATGTGAACAATGTTCATTTCTAGAGGAGTTCGCATCCAAGTTACATTGCAGGGACTGTGAATACTTGTCAGTATTGTCTTTTTGTATTGTATTAAGCCGTATAATAAGCATCAGTGGTCAATATGAAATTGTGATATATATATATATATATATATATATATATATAAGGTTTTCTGTGCTAAAAACATTTTTGCGAAACTATTTGTTTTTTTATCACGCGTAGATGACCGCTTCAAAGTTCTATCATTCCACTCTACGTGCGATTTCATTTTCTTGTAGGAAATCGAGAAGAATGTTCGAGCTGAAGTGGATAAAGATGTAGAAAAAGCAATTAGTGACCCTGAGCCATCTTTAGAAACTATGTTTGGGAACATTTACCATGGCATACCTCCAAATTTCAAAGTCCGGGGCTGTGATGTGAAAACATGGGGATCGACATTTGTTACAAAGTGGTGAAGGTGGGTTTGTGCTTAAGAAATGAAGTAGGCTGGTCAGTTTTATCACGTTATTACGTAGTCAGGTGTGTAGAATATTTTGTCAGGCAAGGAGTCAGGCATATCTAGTCCTTTATTTTTTGACAAAGCCTGGATATCTACCAATAACCTTGTAATTTCGTTCCTCTAAAATACAATTCTTTACGTAACTCCAGTTTCAGTTTTTGTTTTGCGCTTTTTGGAATGGGATTTGTATTTTCGTCATGATTGTCAAACGAAAGCTAATTAGGGGGCATAAAGCAAAATAACATTGGCAATGCGATCATAATGTATTATGTGTTTTTAATGATGTACTTTGGAAAAGCAGTTTCGTGAGAATGAAAGATACTGAAAAGTAATCAGTGTACATACCGTTACATTAAAAAATACTTTTGATAGATGCTTCATGTAGCAAATCGTCTTGAGCTATTAATTTTAAACCAATTTTACTCGGTAGTATCTAGTAGAGATTTATGAACAAAATAGAATGATAGTGCGGTCCTGAGGTTTAATCCAGTCATATGCTCAAAGTTGTGATCACCGAAGCCATCATAGCTGTTAATTTCATACTGGAATACATTGAATATCTTAAAGGACATGTAAGTTATGACACTAGTGAAAATTAGATATTAATTTGAATTAGTTTAAAAGCCTGATACAACTAGCTACCATTCATTTATTTTGACATACTTCTTAGTAGAAATTTTCCGGGCATACATGTTGAGCTTGTGATTTGTCACCTACCGTAATACTGGGGATTGAGGGACTAATGAAGTTCTCCAGAAAATTCACCAGCGGAGTTTGGTTGTTATTGCAGCCAAGTGATACAAATCAGTGTTTGTGTGTACTAATTTGTCGACTCACTTGTTGTTCATCTATAGGGTTTCACTAGCTTCCAGTTCATTTGTTATAGATTTCACTCATGATATAATTCAGCTGTGTTTAGTTGATTTGTAACTCCAAGTCACCATGGAATTATAACTATTTATTTTATGTATCTCGTAATTCTCTTCTATGTGAGGGTCCGGGATATTCCTGTTGGACTTGCGTAGTTCTTAAGAAGTTGACAGGTTTCTTGTGATATGTATTCGGGCATCATCTTGCGTAACATGGCATCTAAAATCCTAGGTTCTATAGGCATGTAAAGACTAAGCGTATCTCGACAGAAACAAAACCGTAAATGCCAGTCAGGCTTTAGGCTCAGACGATGGTGTATTGATCATATCTACACTGTTCGACTGATTTCTGAATATGGGCATCCTTACCAATGTTCAGCGATTGCCATACTCCTTGACCTAAAGGCAGTAGATATTCGTTTCCATCGACAGAGAGGTGTTGTGACAATGGCCGTGAGGGGAGTTCCGAATAGTATATCGAACTGATCAAGGCACGCCACTTGAAATCATGCAGACATGTAAAAACTTCCAGAGATTTGTGACATCCAGTGTTATCCGTCAGTTATTTCCAATGTCTTAATTTTTATTCAACTCCACTGCAGGTGCATTTGTGATAATGAACTTAGACGTCTCAGGGAATGAATAGTTTTGTCGATATGCAATATGCAGATGACATATTCTTTCTAGAGGAAGGTGCTTACAAAATACAGTCTTCTAAACACCTAGAGCATAAATCTTGGTGTTCACCAGACGATTCAACTCAGTGTTGCTTCGGGACTGGCCAGCACTGACTGATAGCTTAGGATAGGGAGTAAAGTGGTTTAGTGTGTTGACCATTGCACTTATTTAAGATACTACGTCAGCCGTAATGGACAGATTGCTGACGAAACCTCAGCATGGATACGTCAGCTCGCTAAGCATTAGCCAGTTCGCGTCATGTTTAACACAGGCATATTGTCTGGTTATAGATGGAGGGATGTGCGTACTGCGCAATAGTGCGCTGCTTCATGCTTCACTACTGAGAGATATGCGAAGACATGAAGAAGCTAGCAGTTTGTGACCATTGGTTCCTGTACAATTCCTCATTTTAGATACTGTGATACGGTCAATTATAATGAGTTAGTTGTAGTTTATTGGAAAATGGAAATCGGTCGATGATATTGTGAAGCTGCGTCGATTGAAACGGTTGAGACACGTGTTATGCATGCGAAGACAGCGCCTTCCTCTACGATTAATATCAGCGGTTACAGAATGGTTTTGGAAAAGTTAGACGAAAACATTCCATCAATCCATGAAGTTTCTAACTGTTGATTTGAGCCACGCAGATATGTGTAGACTGTTTGGCTGGTGTCAGTTGGATGCTACCAATCAATGGTAAGAAGACTGACGACATGACTCAAGGTAGTTTCTAAAGGTGTGCACGCTTATGTATTAAATGCTCGTTCTTCATCTAATTATTCTTTTTCCCGTACAATTTCATTTGTTGTAGTTCGGTTGTGTTTCTTCTCACTACCTTTATGTGTGTGGCTATTCAAGTTTAATTCACGTGGCTGTGTTGTCGTTACCTAGTGCTGTCGTATTATGTAATTCTTTGTTTTCATATAAACCGTTCTTAGTATAAAGCGGCACCATGATTTGATGACATGAGGTTGTTTTACTTCACCCTATTCCAGTACAAAATTTATTCAGTTACTTTAAGGGATTCATCTTCTGTAATCTAAAGTCAGGATAATAAATGTGATTTTATCTGAAGCATACAGTAGTAAAAGAATACTGGTCAAGCGGATGTGGACTCCAGTATCATAAGTTTGTGTATCTGTTTCATAGATGTGTACGATCTCAGAAGTTTTGGCCGCTTTATTAGCATGGTATGCTTAAACGTTTTCAAAAATAAATGTCTATTGTTGTGAATTTAATGACTATATACTGACGATGTGACCATCTTTAATTGAGAGCGTTAAATCATGGTTATATCCTAATAAAGTAGCCTTCACCACATATTTTGTATATACGTTGCTATGGTTTAAAAATAAAAGTACCTACAGGTAGTCACTCAGTCACTGAGTTTAGTTTTTTCTAGCTCTCCCTCGTCCGCTCACTGTATAGTCGTTATCCCATTTGGGTGTAAGTAGCACCAGTGCCGTTAGATATATTTGCAGCTATTCAACAGTAGTCGTGTAGGCATATTTTCTAAGATTTCAGTGTACTCCATGGTTCATTTTGGAGGGATTTCAAAAATTTTTTCTATTTGACTAATACTGAATCACACCAAGTGGTAATTAAATACAGATAGCTACAAGTGGAATTAGTGAACACCTGCAATGGTTAAAAGTCTGCAGTATTTCGGTGAAATCACTGTACATCTTCAGTCCATTAGATGCATAAAGTGTACACTCGAAACTTAAAAGGTATGGTAATCCGGTTTGTTGGATTTTGTTATTTGATTGAATATCCTTTGGATTTAAAGTCAATTTTATAGATGAAAGATTTTGGCTTCCATAAATTTAGATAAACTCTTCACACTCCAGTCTGAATTATTCGTTAGTGAACAATCTTTTGATTCCTTTTACAGGAATCTTTAATATTTCCTACTAATTATCTTAAAATTCCTGTTAAGTATGACGTTTTTAGCATATGTATTATATTTGGGTACTCTTGCATTTGATATTCAAACTTTATGGATCGTATTTAGCTGATAAGTAATCTCCCAAATAAAAGTAGATGTTCATAAACTGCTGTTTAAAGTCCTAGGTCTCGAAAGGATACAGGTATCGTATTACGCTGATGTGTATCCTAGATTTTCTGATTCAGGACCTGTTTGGAGAACAAAGACTTTCTAGTTATTGTCGAAGATTAGTGGCCGTTAAATTCCTTAGATATAGCTCAAAATATTGATGGAAATTATGCCTTATTTTTCTTGTATGTTCCATTATCAAAAGTAAAACAATCACTTCAGAATAGGAACTCCTTATGGTTCGAAACGCATAACTTTATCGTTATAATCTTTGGGCGTAGCTTTCCATTCAGCTTGATTTGGATGTTATTAATGGTTCAACATTGATGATCACACTAAATACAACAGAAAGAAAAGTTATAAGGACCTATACACAACTTTTGAAGACGAATTTAATCAGTGATTTCACGAATAATGAGTTGAGGCTGTGCTACCCACATATGGTTTAACTGAAGTATATTAATAGTTGTATTCCCTCTATTTGTCGCCTTTGGTTGAAGTGCGTAATAAGTCACTTTTCTTCATACAGTGAGTTCTAGGTAAGGAATGTGAATTAATCTCTGAGAATGTAAATCTTCGTCATACTGAACCGCCAACTTTATTGATGCACAGTCTTAGTTCAAGTAGCACTTAATTGAAAAATAGTTAGACTGTGAGCAGATCAAATACATGAAATCAGTGCAATTTGGTCTGGACCACAAAAGGAGGTATAGATTACTCCAATGAAATCCTCAGGTTATTAAATGTTAGCCCTTGGAAACTTGGTGACATGGCTGGTTATTATTATTATTTCCTTTAGTTCCTAGAGGAACATAGGGCTTCAGCCGTGCGTCTCCATTGCATTCGGTTCTCTGCTAGGGTCTTCACCTGGCTCCAAGTCTGCCCATACGCTTTCAATTCTTCTTCACATGATCTCCTCCAGGTCACCTTCGGACGACCAACTCATCGCTTCCCTTTCGGCCGGGTTCCACTCGAGCAATGGCTTGTCTAGTGATGTCACTTGATGGTTTACTCAGAGTATGTCCAGCGAATCCACTTCCATTTCTTCCTGCCTATTTGTTTCACAATCGGTTCCTGGTTGGTTCGTTCCCAAAGATCCCTGTTGCTGATCCTTTCCGGCCATCTGATCTTGAGTATTGAGCGAAGACAACTGTTAATGAAGGTCTGTAGCTTGTTTGAGGTGCTCTTTGTGACACGCCAAGTCTCTGATCCGTATAGTAGCACTGACTTCACATTGGAGTTGAAAATCCGGATCTTATTTTTGATGCTGAGTGTTGTTGACCTCCACACAGACTTGAGAGTAGTGAAAGCTTGTCTTGCTTTTCCGATCCTTGCTTTGATATCCTCGTCAGTTCCGCCTGTAGTTGAAATGATGCTACCAAGGTATGTAAAACAGGTTGTTTCTTTCAGGCTCCTCCCATTTATGCTGATTGTTGTCAGTTGTTGTTGTTGCTGTGGCTGTTGGTGTTGCCCAGGAATCTTCATCACCTCCGTTTCCTCTATGTTCACCTGGAGTCCTATCTTTGATGCTTCTTCTGCTGGTAATAATTCACGATTAGGAAGATTCTTTCACTCTTAGTCCTTTTTTCTAGACCCTAAACACTTACATTGAATCCAGCAGCAGCACATTAAATCATCCATTCCTTTTATACTTGTAATTACCTACTATAATTTTTGCATGCTATTTACAGAAGAGGAAATTTTAATAATCACATCTCTATGCAAAGTTCTGCGTTAATTAGCGAAATTTAGCAGTAGTTTT